TTAATTTTTGTCATGCTTTCAGGGAATTCAGTCCATGGTCAGCTGGCTTCAAGGCAGAAACATCATAACTCAAGGTTATGATAAAGCAAAGCTACTTAGTTCATGGCAACAGGAAAGCAGAGCAGGGAAATAGAACCACAGAAGAAGGGGCAAGAGACCAGATATAGACTCCAAGACCATGCCTCCATAACCCATCCATGCACACCCAGAAATGTGCCTTACTATTTCTCTGAGAAGCTCCCAAAACAATAAAGTTGACCATCCTTCTTAATGGTAATAAGAAGGTTTATTAGCCATAAACTGATCTAACCTATTCTACTCCTTTTCAAGACTGAAGACACCTAGATAAGAGTAACTAAAGTAATTTTCAAGACTTACAGGGATATTCAGTTGCCAACTTTTACAGTGTCCAATTCCAGATACCCTCAAGCAATGCCTAGAAATCTCCAGTCATTGTCCTATACCTGCAGTCACCTCAGATTGTAGGAAAAGCAGAGCCTTGCAAACCACACCATGATGAGGTCACCCTACCCCTAAGTGGGAGCAATTACTCCATAGCCACAGCTGACCCTGTAAGCAAGAACCAGTCACCTCACAGTGGGAACAAATTGCCTTCTCAAGTGATGCTATCTCTCCCAGTACCTCACAGAACCAATCCTATGATAACCATCAACCAGATCACAGCTCAATCAGAATTACCCACCTTGCTAATTATGCAAATCCTCAAATCTCACCTTCGTTCCCCTTTCCTATAAATCCCCAAGGTTTCTGCTAGCACCTGAAAGGCCTCGCTCCTCTTTACTTATCCTCCCCTCAACATGGCCTTGCTGATTAAAGTTCCTTCTCTGACTTTCACCACTGCTCACCTCCTTCATCAATGTTTTAGAATAAGTAGCCAATTCTATTCTACTGGGACCCCTGGAGCTAGGGCTTATGCCCTAAAACTCTGGAAACACCCCTTCTCACCATCCACTCAACAAGCAGGCCTTTTCCTCTCTTATAGTTTCCCTAGCTATTGATAAAATAGGCAGATTTAAGCCTTTCTCTTTCTTTCTCTTCTTCTTTCTTCCTTTCTTTCTTCTCAGCTTCTGTCTTCTTTGCCTGTCAGCCTTGCAATAAAGCTCTCTTTCTGCAAAATCCAGCACCATGGCACTGGCACCCATGTGTGTTGGATAACGAGCCCTTGCTTATTATCAATCTATCTTTCAGCATAGGTGTTACTGCCACAAACATATTAATAGGTTAAGAAAAATATCACTGTTTCTTCCCCACATTGACAAAGTTATAAAGGCAATTCCATGGAAAAAGTATAGCCTTTTCAACAAATAGTACTGGAAAAATTAAAAGTCCATATTCTAAAAATTTGACTTTTATGCATACACCCTACCATATTTTAAAAAACCTTGAAATGAGTCATAGTCCTAAATGTGAAACTTAAACCAATAAAACTGCTAGAAGAAAACAGGGTAAAATCCTTGTGACCTGATATTAGGCAAAGATTTCTTAGATATGGTATCAAAAACACAAACCAAAAGTGAATAAATTAATAAAATGAACTTCATCAAAATTGTAAAATTCTGCTTTTCAAAAGACATTGCTGATTGGCTGGGCATGGTGGCACATGCCTACAATCCCAGCACTCAGGAGCTGAAGGGAGAGTCACAAATTTAAGTTCATCCAGGTCTACATAGTAAGTCAAGCCTGCTTTGGACTACATAGTAAGACCCTATCTCAACAACAAAAGACTTTAGTGTCAGAAAAGACAAACAATATATGAGGAAAAAATCTTAGAGCCAATCTGTAAAAGACTTGGATCCATGATAAGTAAAGGTCTTTAATTACTCAACCAAAAACAAACAAAATGTGCAGAAGATTTGAAGACATGTCATCAAAAGACATTCATGCAATAATAAATGTAGTGAATGCTTAACTTTTAAAAATTTACCATGGTAAAATCAGTTTGGAGATTCCTCAGAAAACTAGGTCTAGAGATCCCATTCAACCCAGCTATCCCCCTGCTGGATATTTTCCCAGAAGATCCGAAAACATCATATCACAGTGATGTATGTGCACC